CTTTCCTTCCTGTACAACTCACACTCCCCAAATATGGGGGGTCTACTCTCCTCCGATTTGCCACATGGAACATGGGTGTCTATCCTCCTCTTCCTCTCTCCTACGGCTGGTATACCTCTTCCTCCGTTCTGGCAAGTCCAGATCGCCTACTCGAAATTGCAAGGGGGGGGGTCGGCAATCTGTCGCCCCACCTGGAACGCCTCGTCCTTGAAGCCCTGGCTCTCGAGGAAGCGGGCGACGGCGGTGTACTCTCCCTTGGGGATGGAGGGGAGGATGGAGTTGGCCGTCTCGAAGTCCTTCCGCACGACCGCGGTCTGCATGGCAGCAAACAAGAAACAAGAACAAGAACCAAGAAGAGAAGGAATAAAACTGAGAAAATGAAACACGCCCCCAAGGGTTGTGTAGTTTTCGCGCGCGACGGGAGACAAGTTGTAAACGGCCGTCTGGCACAACAACCCGAAAGTCTCGACCACCACCACCACCACCAGAAACGCCCCCACTACCACTCACCCACAACAACAACAAACAACACCATCACCATTACCACCAACATCAGCACAGTAGTTTAGCCACAGGGTACTGCAGCATTAAGAACAACAACAACAATACCACCACCACTAACTTCAACACCAACAACAACAAAAGTTGCTGTTTCACCTGGTACTGCAGCATGGCCTGGCGCACGCGGTAGCTGTAGATGTTCTGCTGCTTGTCCATGAGGTACACCCGGTCCTCCTTAGGCAGGTAGCCCAGCATGTACATGGGGTGCTCCAAGTGGCACAGGGTCATCGTCTCCCCCCCGATGTAGTAGCTCAACCTCCCCTGACACGTTATCATGACGAAGCAAGCACGCGGCATTTATTTCAGTTTCTGGTTTGCCTTGCTGCCGTATATGCAGTATCTCAAAACAGAAAAACCATAAAAGATGGTCGAATGTTGAGGCGTTAAGTGGCAAAGTCAAGCAAGCGGCACTTGATTGGGTATATCTACACTCGTTCATCGTGCCACAACAGCAAGCAAGCGGCATTCGTTTTGAGTTTTTGGTTGCATCGCTGTCGTGTGTACAGTATCTCAAACAGAATACGTAAAAGGTCAAAGGCTAGGACGTTGTGTGACAAAGGAAGCGGTTTGATATTCTTGCGTTTGCCACATCTCAAGACAGGAAGAAAAAAAAGTCGATTTTGAAACACTTGTGTAACAAAGCAAACGGCGTTTGGGTCTTGCTTGATTGGTTATCTCGTTGCCGTAGATATCTCAGA